ATCGAACTCAGGTCTCTCGCATTGCAGGAAGATTCTTTACCATCTGAGCCAGCAGAGAATCAACTCAGAAAAGAAGTTCATTAAACCATTTAAATAAAAAGTTACAATCTATAAAGAGTTTAATAACTAACAATTGAGATAACTTGTAATCATTTGCATTTAATAGTAATATATTATTAAGTGACCATTTTATGAAATATTTCCACATAATCAGTATAAACTTGTGAGCTACGAAGGAAAACAGATCTTAGTACTTATGTGAACTTAACAAACTTTTAAAGAAAATTTAAAAACAATAAAACTGTCTATTCAAATACAATGTTCTCATTTCTCAAATAAAAATTCTACCATTTAGAATATTGTGATCTTGGAAAAGTGACCTACCATCTCTAAACTTAATTTTCCTCTTCTTCAGAGGGGAAGTACTACAATTTAATATTGGCCATGCTAGTACCTGTTATAAACAGCAAATATATTATGAATTTGAAAGTCAAGCAAAGTCTAGAATACAGAAAGTCACTAAAAACAGTGATGAGTTTGCAACGTAGTTGTGACTTAGTCCTCTTTTTATTATACTAACAATGAACTCAGAACCTGACTTTGAAATTAATAGCTGAGTGAAGAGGGTCAGAAAGAGAAAAACAAATATCATGTATTAACGCATTTATATGGAATCTAGAAATATGGTACTGATGAACCTATTTTCAGGGCAGCAGTGGAGACACAGGCATAGAGAACAGACTGTGGACACAGTAGGGGAAGGAGATGGAGGGACGAAGGGAGAGAGTGGCATGGAAACACATACACTACCATATGTAAAACAGACAGCCAGTGGGGATCTGCTCTATGACTCAGGGCGCTCAAACCTCACTCTCTGTGACAACCTAGAGCGGGATGGGGTGGGAGGTGGGAGGGAGGTTCAAGAGGGCCGGGACATATATATATACTCATGGCTGATTCATGTAGGTGTATGGCAGAAACACAATATTCTTCCAATCAAAAATAAAAGTCAGGAAAAGAAATAAATTAATAGCTAAGCATGGCCTCTTTTTAGTTTATCAATGCAAAGCTCCCTGACAGATATCCTCTCTGCACCAACCTGCATTTTTCCCCAGAAAATAAAACACTTGGTTTTATTTTTTGCTTGCAACACCCTTAAAGATCAGTCCCGCCTTCCTTTATGGAGAAGCAGACATGAGTTCAATCCCTGAGTCAAGAAGATCCCCCGGAAAAGGAAATGGCAAACCCACTTCAGTACACTTGCCTGAAAAATTCCACGGGCAGAGGAGCCTGGTGGGCCACAGGCCATGTGGTCAAAGAGAGTCAGACGTGACTGAGTGATTCAGACACAGGTCCCCCCCAGACCTTCAGTTCAGTTCAGTCACTTAGTCATGTCCGAACCTTTGCGACCCCATGAATCGCAGCACGCCAGGCCTCCCTGTCCATCACCAACTCCCGGAGTATACTCAAACTCAGATCCATCGAGTCGGTGATGCCATCCACCCATCTCATCCTCTGTCGTCCCCTTCTCCTCCTGCCTTCAATCATTCCCAGCATCAGGGTCTTTTCAAATGAGTCAGTTCTTCACATCAGGTGGCCAGCGTATTGGAGCTTCAGCTTTAGCATTAGTCTTTCTAATGAATATTCAAGACTGATCTCCTTTAGGATGGACTGGTTGGATCTCCTTGCAGTCCACAGGACTCTCAAGACTTTTCTCCAACACCATAGTCCAAAAGCATCAATTCTTCAGCGCTCAGCTTTCTAATCCAACTCTCACATCCATACATGACCACTGGAAAAACCATAGCTTTGACTAGACGGACCTTTGTTGGCAAAGTAATGTCTCTGCTTTTTAATAAGCTGTATAGGTTGGTCATAACTTTTCTTCCAAGGAGCAAGCGTCTTTTAATTTCATGGTTGCAGTCACCATCTGCAGTGATTTTGGAGCCAAAGAAAATAAAGTCTATTACAGTTTCCATTGTTTCCCCATCTATTTGCTATGAAGTGATGGGACCAGATGCCATGATCTTTGTTTTCTGAATGTTGAGTTTTAAGACAACTTGTTCACTTTCCTCTTTCACTTTCATCAAGAGGCTCTTTACCTCTTCTTCACTTTCTGCCATAAGGGTGGTGTCATCTGCATATCTGAGGTTGTTGATATTTCTCCCAGCAGTCTTGATTCCAGCTTGTGCTTCTTCCAGCCCAGCGTTTCTCATGATGTGCTCTGCATTTAAGTTAAATAAGCAGGGTGACAATATACAGACTCTATGTACTCCTTTCCCGATTTGGAACCAGTGTGTTTTTCTGTGTCCAGTTCTAACTGTTGCTTTCTGACCTGCATACAGATTTCTCAGGAGGCAGGTCAGGTGGCCTGTTATTCCCATATCTTTAAGAATTTCCCACAGCTTGTTGTGATTAAGACAGTGAAAGGCTTTGGCGTAGTCAATAAAGCAGAAGAGATGTTTTTCTGGAACTCTCTTGTTTTTTCAATGATCCAAAGGATGTTTGCAATTTGATCTCTGGTTCCTCTGCCTTTTCTTAATCCAGCTTCAGCATCTGGAAGTTCTTGGTTCATGTACTATTGAAGCCTGGCTTGGAGAATTTTGAGCATTATTTTGCTAGCATGTGAGATATGTGCAATTGTGTGGTAGTCAGAGCATTCTTTGGCTTTGCCTTTCTTTGGGACTGGAATGAAAACTGAGCTTTTCCAGTCCTGTGGCCACTGCTGAGTTTTCTAAATTTGCTGGCAAATTGAGTGCAGCACTTTCACAGCATCATCTTTTAGGATTTGAAATAGCTCAACTGGAATTCCATCACCTCCACTAGCTTTGTTTGTAGTGATGCTTCCTAAGGCCCACTTGACTTCACATTCCAGAATGTCTGGCTCTAGGCGGGTGAACATACCATGGAGATTATCTGGGTTGTGATGATATTTTTTGTATGGTTCTTCTGTGTATTCTTGCCACCTCTTCTTAATATCTTCTGCTTCTGTTAGGTCCATACCATTTCTGTCCTTTATTGTGCCCATCTTTGCATGAAATTTCTTTTTTCTCCCAGAGTGAGAAGGAACAGCTAGCTCCCAGAGTGGCCACCCTCCATGCTGCCCCTTCCCCCACCTGCCCTGTGAGCCTGACCACCTTTTAGCTCTTTGCCCCAAAGGTAATTCCCCAAGGCCACTTAGCTTACTGCTTTGGTTATAATCTGAGTCCCATTCTGAGACACACCATTCCTTACACAGAGCAGCCGCTAGCACACCCTTTCTAATTTGCAATATTTCTGCCAGCTTCCTATCCCTCCTTCCCTGCTCTATCCCATGGGTCTCTCTAACCCTCATCAAGAACAACTGGCAAGAAACCACTGACTGGACATTCAGAAGACCAAGTTTCCCAGCTCTACCCTGCTCGGTGAATTCCCTGGTGGCCTCCATTCCTCAGCTGTTATTTAAGGGGTGCTAGGATCATGTATGGATGTGAGAGTTGGACTGTGAGGAAAGCTGAGCACTGAAAAATTGATGCTTTTGAATTGTAGTGTTGGAGAAGACTCTTGAGAGTCCCTTGGACTGCAAGGAGATCCAACCAGTCCATCCTGAAGGAGATCAGTCCTGGGTGTTCATTGGAAGGACTGATGCTGAAACTGAAACTCCAGTACTCTGCCCACCTCATGTGAAGAGTTGACTCATTGGAAAAGACCCTGATGCTGGGAGGGATTGAGGGCAGGATGAGAAGGGGACGACAGAGGATGAGATGGCTGGATGGCATCACCGACTTGATGGGCATGAGTTTGAGTAAACTCTGGGAGTTGGTGATGGATAGGGAGGCCTGGCGTGCTGCAATTCATGGGGTTGCAAAGAGTTGGATACAGCTGAGTGACTGAACTGAACTGAACTGAACTGAACTGACTAGCATCAAACATCCCATGATTCTGGGTTCTGAAAAAGGCAGAGGGACCAAATTCAGAAATGGGCAGGGGAGGAAACTAGGATAAAACCAGAGGGAGAAGAGAGGACGCAAGTGAAGAGAAGAGGAGGGTAGAAGAGAGGGGGAAAGGGGCCAGAGGGGATATGTGATCTGGATGAAGTAAAAGGAGAGTGGTGATGGAGTGACCACCAGCAACTTGCAAGGCAGACCTGGAGATCAGATTCGCCTGCAAGCCCCACACTTGCCCGTCTAGCCCTGGCTTGTCCTCTGCTCCAGGCCTCCTATGCCTGATGCACGCGTCCTAGACTCGCTGGAGCTCCCGCCCCAAGACTCAGACCTCTCCCTCCGCACCTGGTCTCTCGACTCCAGTCCCTGGCTCTCGCCCTCTGCTGCTTCCTCCAATGTGTACTTCTGACTCCCTGACTCATTCTGATTACTCCTTTTCCTTGTGGTCCCCTCGAGCTGGAGGCAGAATTGGGGGTGTGGGGGCCAGAAAAGAGGGCTGGGGTGGAGGAGGAGGTGCTGCCCGCTGGGGATGGGGGCACTTACCCCGCATCTCATGCTGCCCTGCTCTCGCTGTCTCTGCAGCTTAGCATCCCCAGAGCAGGGAACGAGGTTGACCCAACATAGGAGGCTGAGAGGGTTTGCAGGGCAGGTCGGGGAGATGGGGCGAGGAGTGGGCACCAAGGAAGAAGTCTTGCTCTGCTCCAGCAACTTCTTAAGGAAGGCTCTGGCTTCCAGGTCCCCTGGGGCCCCTGGGACGTGCAGCCCAGCACCAGGCAGGACTCCGTGTGGGCGGGGCTCTGTGGGGCGGGGTCTGTGGGGGCGGGGCTCCATGGGCGGGGCTTCATGGGAGTAGGGATCCAGTTGGTGGGGTTCCATGGGGGCGGGGCTTCCAGGACGGGCTTGTGATTGGCTAGGCTCCAGAGGGGCGGGGCTCCACAGGAGACTGGGTCCGGACCCTCTCGGCTGGTCTGAGGAGGTGCCGGCCCGCTCACACGCTCCTCTGCTGCAGCGTCCAGGAAGAACACCGGGCGAGGTGGTCAGGGTTTCCCTCACCCACTCCAGGCCCCTCAGGACCTCTTAGGGGCCCAGGGTGCTTCCCCAGTATGAGAGCGGCACAGCCCGCTCCATGGCCCCCTGCAGCCCGAGGGTCCCCGGAGAAGCCAGAGACGGGCTGCCACCCAGCCACTGGCACAGGTGGTCCTGGAGGGACGGGCCGCACACCGGGAGGAGGCCCTGCGCCTCAAGCCAGGTAAGCACCATCCGAGAGGCCGGCAGGGGCGTAAAGCGCAGGCACAGAGAGTGGAGGCAGGGTCGCGTGGGCTGGGGTCCAGGCTGCAGGGCCTTGGCCTGTGTGCCCAAAATCCTGACCTGCGGGCAGACGGTCAACTGCGCCTGGCATCCCTGAATTCTGCCTCCTCACTGCAGTCCGCCAGTCCTCTGCAAAGAGCCGGCTGGCTGTGTCCAGCTCTGTGTCAAGTATTCCAGCAAATACTCTGTCCCCGCTTCTGCTCCTGCTACCACTCTTTTCCCGGGACATTATACACAAAAGCGACCTAGTTTTCCCCTCCGCCCTCCACCTCTCCTTCGTATAATCGGGTGTCAAGTTGTGTAGATTGTTCTTCACAATCCATCCCAAATTCATTTTGTTCACAAATTATTTTGAATACCGCTAAGCAGAGACATTACTTTGCCAACAAAGGTCTGTCTAGTCAAAGCTATGGTTTTTCCAGTGGTCATGTATGGATGTGAGAGTTGGACTATAAAGAAAGCGGAACACCAAAGAATTGATGCTTTTGAACCATGGTGTTGGAGAAAAGTCTTGAGAGTCCCTTGGACAATGAGATGCAACCAGTGCATCCTAAAGGGAATCAGTCCTGAATATTCATTGGAAGGACTAATGCTGAAGCTGAAACTCCAAAACTGTGGCCACCTGATGCAAAGAACTGACTCATTTGAAAAGACCCTGATGCTGGGAATGTTTGAAGGTGGGAGGAGAAGGGGACGACAGAGGATGAGATGGTTGGATGGCATCACGGACTCAATGGACATGAGTTTGAGTAAGCTCTGGGAGTTGGCAATGGACAGGGAGGCCTGGTGTGCTGCAGTCCATGGGGTCACAGCTAAACTGAACCATAATGTAAGGGCTTCCCTTGTAGCTCAGGCAGTAAAGAACCTGCCGGCAATGCAGGAGACTTGGGTTCAATCGCTGTGTCAGGAAGATCTCCTGGAGAAGGGAATGGCTACTCACTCCAATATTCTTGCCTAAACTCCAGAGGAGCCTGGCAGGCTATGTAAGTCCATGGGATTGCAAAGACTCAGACATGACTGAGCAAGTGACACGTTCACTTTTCACCATAATCTAAAATTAATACTTTAGAACTTATTTGGACCACAGGCCAGCATATATGAATATGACCTAAAATAGACCTAAAATATCAACATAGAACCCAGAGTTCCATAGTGTTCTCTCTCCACACACAGGAACTAGAGGGACATGTGGTCGCCTCCAGCATAGCAGTGTACCAGGGGGCGGGCAGGAAGAGGAGTTATTGAGCCCAGGAGACGGGTCTTGTCATAGCTTTGGCATTGCCACTTTCCCAGCCAACTGCCAATCTGCCACCTGGTCAGTCTTTGCAAAAATATTGCTTCAATTTTGCAGATTAAGCGAAAGGGACAAATTACTGTTTCCTAGATGCCAAGTTAGGCGTTTTAATTTTTATTGGGAAAAATGAAGAATCGTTGTAAGAAATAGAATAGGAGCTAGTAATGTTGAGTGAGAGTGTTGGCCTAGAAACCGAAAGGTTTATTTCCATAACTTGGATAACTGAAGTTTTCTGGAAAGAATGAAGACAAAATTACATATAAATATATATTCATTCTCTCTAGGAAACTGTAATTATATATATAACATAAAATATATATAAATATATACATCTTGAATGATTTTTAGATGACTAAATGACAAATGGTTTCAATAATGTCTAGTAATCTAGATTTTCTAATATGAGGCCAATTTTGGACAAAACAGTGAATTAATGCAGTTTATTGTCAGTGCCTTGAACTTCCTTATTTGTTGCCACTTAAGGTGTTCCTTTCTCAACTCAACCATCCCAAACCTTCATATCCTTCTATAACCTCCTTTCAAATCCTTTTCTTAAGTACTTTTGGTCATACTAACGCGTCAATTACTGATATCAGCTCAAATTGAACATCTTCCCTCGAGAATTTATAGGTGAATACATATAAAATCCTCTACTGGTACTATATTTGTATTTTTAGCAAAGATCTTGGCTTTCATTGACTGGGCAAATAAACATTAATACAGGAATAAATGAAAAATAAATGATTGGATGGAGGCATAGAGGAAAAAGAAACAACAAAGATGACTAGAAAGGCAAACTAGAGTGGAAAATGAAGGGAAAAACGAGTGTTAACTTTCTGATATTAACCATTGGATAAGGAGAGTACAGGGGGTAGATACTGGTGTCTTCCAATATTCAGTAAAATGATACCATATACAATTGTGCTGATGGTTAAGTCATGCATATGAATAATAACTGCTTTCTAATGAAAAGATGCTTACTCCTTGGAAGGAAAGTTATGACCAACCTAGACAGCATATTAAAAAAGCAGAGACATTACTTTGCCAACAAACGTCCGTCTAGTCAAGGCTATGGTTTTTCCAGTGGTCATGTATGGATGTGAGAGTTGGACTATAAAGAAAGCTGAGCGCTGAAGAATTGATGCTTTTGAACTGTGGTGTTAGGGAAGACTCTTGAGAATCCCGTGGACTGCAAGGAGATCCAACCAGTCCATCCTAAAGATCAGTCCTGGATGTTCACGGGAAGGACTGATGTTGAAGCTGAAACTCTAATACTTTGGCCACCTGATGCAAAGAGCTGATTCATTGAAAAGACCCTGATGCTGGGAAAGATTGAGGGCAGGAGAAGAAGGGGACGACAGAGGATGAGATGGTTGGATGGCATCACCGACTCGATGGACATGGGTTTGGGTGGACTCCGGGAGTTTGTGATGGACAGGGAGGCCTGGCGTGCTGCGGTTCATGGGATTGCAAAGAGTCGGACATGACTGAGTGGCTGAACTGAACTGAATGAAGGATGCGATGGGTAGTCCCATGTTTTCTTGTTCTTTAATATTTTTGTGTCAGGCAGCTATCTGTGAGGTATTATAAAACAAGTTTTCATCTAAAATCACATGTACTTATTACTAATGCTGTTACATATATGTGCATACACCAATTATGTCTATTATATATATACAAATTGAAGCATGTGGCTTAATTTAATTTAAAAAAAAACTAGACATTTTGCAGCAGTTAAAAGTCCTCATTTTAAGTCAATAGAATTTTAGGGGAGAAAATTTCCTTTACTTAATTCCATTATTAGGGGAAAAATTCTGAATGTGGAAGCATCTTCTGAAACTGAATGTATGCTATCATTGATAATCATATTGGAATAAAAGAGTATCCTTTATCCACCTTATAGTGCGTGTGACTAAGTAACAAAGCTAACTATACAGTATGGAAAATTTTCTTCTGCTTTCTGACATAAATTCATCTAATGATTTGCCTGGCCTGGAAAGCTATTTTTTTTTTTTTCCTAAGCTTTCCTCCTCATGTCTTATTCAGCATACATTTTGAGGACAGCTGGAGAAGTCTATAATGAGTTACATTAATAACTGAAGATGGAGAATGATGGGCATTCTTGAAGGGAGGGGGATATAAAAACTGAGAATATGCAGATGTTTGGGCACAGCGAGGAGTGAATTAGTAATGAGTGTGGCATAACTAAGATCAGAGATGAAGACACAGTCAAAAGGCTGCCAGGCGATGTGACTTAGCACCATAGCAACATCTGACATCCTGGAATGCCACTGCCTTGAAGCCACACAGCACATCAATTCAATTACCCCACCTGGAGAAGAATGGGAGGAAAAATTCACTCAAACTGACTCTTGTGATTTACCTCTAGGAGAATTTTGGTCGATGGGAAGCTGTTTTTATTTAAAAAGTCAGGCAATCTAGAAGAAGCCAGCATTTCATTATATAACAGGGTAGAGCAGAAGGTAAAAGAATTTGAAAGGAAAATTAATTTTCCACAGAAATCGGGATGGGGTGGTGCATAGAGGAAGAATTTCACTTAGGTTTTCTGTCACAGTTAATATTTAATGAGCAAATGATGATCTCTTATTAAATGATATAAAAAATTAAGCAAAAGTTAGACTTTCATAAAATTATTTTTTAAAAGATTTTCAAGCAATAAACTTTGATGCTCAGTTGTGTCCAACTCTTTGCAACCCCAGGGACTATGCAGCCTGTGGAATTTTCCAGGCTAGAATACTGGAGTGGTAGCCTTTCCCTTCTCCAGGGGCTCTTCCCAACCCAGGTATCGAACCCAGGTCTCCCACATTGCAGGCAGATTGTTCACCAGCTGAGCCACAAGGAAAGCCCAAGAATACTGGAGTGGGTAGCCTACCCCTTCTCCAGGGACTCTTCCTGACCCAGGAATCTAACCGGGGTCTCCTGCATTGCAGGTGGATTCTTTACCAACTGAGCTATCAGGGAAACCCAAACTTTGATCAGGCATGCTATTTTCTATGCATTTTTATATATGCATTTAATATTTCTGTTTTCTATAATGTATCTGTACCCCCAACTGCAGTATTATCTGTCTTAATATTATCTATTCCACTTAAAATTATATTGCTTGTCAATGCTCTGGGTTTTTTGTTTGTTTTTTGTTTTTTTATCACTGGTATTTCTTAATTCCATAAGATACCACCTATGATAAGGCAAAGATCTCTTCATGCTCATTTAAATCTCATAAAACTACTGAGCCAGAGGTGAGAGAGTTGGAAGCAGATAAATATTGATTTAAGTGTAATTCTTTGTCTGTAGAAACAGATGACCATGTAGATTTTACCAGAATCGATTTTCAGTTGTACTTTTAGGCCTTTTGCAGAGGGAATGGGGAGGAGGGGGTGTTGTGTGAAGCACAAGTGGATGTGTGTCCAGAAAGAGCCCTTATTGAGTGTGTACTGGAGGGCAGAGGGGTGTGCCAGGTCTGTGCCTCTACCTGGATTCATCACTAACTGCATCCACTGCAGATGCAGGCGAGTGCATTTGTAATGGAAAAGCTCGGGTTGACACTCCTCTGTTCTGGTTCTTTAAGGAGGATAAGTAATGCTCTGAGGCCAAATGAAAAAACAACCCAAAAGGAAACTCAGAAAGAAAAATGTTCTGAGGGACTGAAGAGCACGTGAAAGAGCATGACTCAGCACAGAAAGTGGATATAAAATAGATCAGAAACTCTCCTATGAATGAGGATTTGGGGCTTTCTGAAGTAGCA